AGCTCACCATTCAGACTTAAACTTGCGGGATCAAAGACGGTTGGCGGGACGAAAAGACTCCGTTTGATCGGGCGAGAGCTGAGCGCTGACATCGCCTCCAAACGACGTGGCTGCTCCTTAGGTACGAGACGGTACGTGCATGTACTTGTTGACTCCACGTTCCTCCTTTTGAGGAGAAGACGTGCTAGCTGGTTGAAGCGGGCAGAAGAGACCACGAGATCCTGGCAGTGCAGCCTCTGCCGCTTTGGAATTTGGAGAGCTTTCTCGTACACACAGTACGAACTAGAGCCCACACTCCACTCCTGGAGACCGGATTTGTAGCAAATGACGAAGAAGGCATTGCGGTAGCGATATAAGTGGCCCGCCAGCGCCGCCCAGCTTGAGTACAACAGGTTTCATCATCGTCCAAAGCAGCACCCAACACCGCTGTGATTCTCATAAACATTCAATTGGAATTCTGTCCTCTTTTATCTACGGCAACCTCAATATACATACGGTAAGTTGACTCGCGGCCTCACCCTACTCATGAGGCAGCTACCCCTCCATCAGCCAGCCCCTTTTCCACCACACCCTCCCCAGTCAGCTGCAAGCGGTCTGCCAAACCAACCATGGGCCAGTTGCGAATGGACGAGTCGTCGATCCCCATTGTGCAATTGTGCAACATCGTGGGCCATTCCGGCTGTTTCCTTGGTCGCAGCAGGTGTGAGGCACACTCATATCCGCGATAGCATCTGTAACGCGGAGCCACATGTTCCTGTCATGTAACCGCATGAGCTGGAGCTGTTTTCTCTCTCATCACTATCTGCTTGTCTCGCTTCTTATCGGCCCGCCATTCGTCTCAGTCTGGCGGTGACTCGTTATCTGCGGGCACAAGGCTGCGCGGCTCAGGTACCGTGTTATCACTTCTGTTGGGCGCACTTATCTCGCATCAGCTCCAAGCCTTCCATCTACACGCTCACCGATTCTCCTGCTGCATATGCTAACCTAGTCCTGCCGTTGTTCCAGACGAGCTACCTTAGTGTACTTCCGCAGACACCAGACATAGGACTGTCGTCGTGGTACCGCACTCCCGCAAGAACCCGATCCTACCCATCCTCCCCGTCTCACCAGCTCGTCCCTCCTTCCGCTATCGCACACGAGCTCCCAACGGCACCTCCCTCGACACTACCGCACAACATATCTACCAGCCCGATCCTCCGCCGAGCTTGCCCACCATGTCAACTACAACGGCCCAGCAGCCTCCTGTCATACCTCCGAGACCCTCGAGGAGTCAAGAGAGAGCACCCGTCCCAATGGTTCCTCCACGCCCTGCCAACCGGCGCTTCCAGCGCTCAATAAGTCCCAACCCTGACCGTTTCGCTCCCTCGCCGCTCAATGAGAGCCCCCTCGTCAAGTCCAAGTCTCTTCACCCCGGCGGCCGCAATCATGGCGATCCCATCCCCCGTTCCACCTCTGTCGACCTGCCCTCGCTCGGCGAAGAGGGAGCCGAGTATGCCAACTTGGCCCAAGAGTCGAGTCCATCCACCGAGGAGAGCACCAGCCCCGAGCACACCCGCACCGTCGGCGAGGATGTCAAGCTTCATGCGCCCAAGCCGTCCCTGCCGGCGGCCAGCGCAAAGCAGCGTGTGATGGCCGTCACCCGTACCGACAGTGACCGAGCTGCTGCCTTTGGCATTGGCAGACCCAGCAGCAACGACGATTACTCGACCGCCGCTCTGCCCTCGAACCGCAGTCTGAAGAAGAAAGCCAGCACAACTAGCCAGCTGTCGGTAAAGAGTGACCTCGATGACGAGCAAGGCATCCCCGAGATTGGAATTCAGGTTCCCATGCTCAAGAATGCTGGCGATGTTCAGGCCCCATCGCCTGCCCCCTCAACTGTTGAGAAGAAGCACCACAGCCGCAGGTCGTCAAGCCGTGGCAACCTGCCTCCTGGCAGCTACGGTTTGCATGGCCATGGTGTGGGTCCCCAAGATAAGCTGGACAAGGCGTACTTTGAGAAGCATCCCGAGCTTCTCAAGAAGGAGCATGTGCTTCACCACTATGACCGGGTCAAGGACTTCTCCATGAGCAGCGAAGAGTTGAATAAGATTGTCCGCGAGACAATCACCCGTGGTTCCGGTCTTGGTGTCAAGAACTACTCCGGTACCCCTACCGATCAGGTCGCCTGGCAAGCCTTGGAAGAGTCGACTTCCCGTGTCGCTTCACCTGGCCCTGCTTCTCCCAAGAAGCCCTCTTCAGTCATCTCTGATTCGGACAAGGATAAGGAAGGACGCCGCCCCTCTTCCATCAGTGACGTCATTCACGTCGAGGAGCCCAACCACAGGAGATCTGTGATGTTCAGCGAAAACGAGTCACCCGCCATCGAAGAAGACGCTTATGAGGCGCCTATTCTTGCCGAGGACGAAGTTGCCAAGGACCCATCGCCGTACGTTCATCAGCCTGCTGTTGAGCTTCCCCAGGAGGAGCAGCCGGCCAGCCGCCCCCCCAGCAGGCCCGCCAGCATCTACAAGGAGCATTCATTTGAGCACCGCTCCACCCCCCTTGAAGATGTGGAAGAGTACGAGCCCCTTTTTGACGATGATGACAAGGTTGCCAAGAAGCAGCCCGTGAAGGAGGAGAAGCCCAAGAGCGTCAAGAAGCAGCGTTTCCCCAGTGCGGATATCTGGGAAGATGCCCCCAGCAGCGTCTATTACACGGCTGAGGTGTCTACCCCGGATCTCTTCGAAGGCGAAGACAAACCTGAACATGCTGCCTCCATCGTCCCTCCTGCTAGGGATGGAGAGACTCCCGCCCAGGCTTTTGCCCGTCACCAGGAGGAGCTTGCCGAGAAGGAAGTCAGAGAGCGCGGAGCCGACGGCTTCATCCCGGGCCGGAGCGCAAAGCCGGTTTGGGCGAAGCATCAACCCCATCTTCTCAGCGAAACCAAGCCCTCGTCCCGCCCTAGTATGAACAACCGCTTCCCCAGCCGCGACGTCTGGGAGGACACCCCCGAGTCCCTCCAGCTGGAAACAACCGTCTCCACCCCCCAGCAAGACGATGCTGTCCCCTCACCTGTTGAGACCAGCTCCCCTACCACCGCCGTGAAGAAGCCCGAGATTCCCTCCCGTCCCAAGCCTAAAGTCTCCGGTGACGACAACAAGCCCGCTATCCCTGAGCGCCCCAAACCGGCAATTCCCGCCCGCCCGGTCAAGGCAGGTCCTACTTCTGGTGGGTTAGAACCTGCCGAGGCGGCCGCGCCCCCGAGGCAGAAGCCTGCTGTGCCGGCTCGGCCGGTGGGCGGGAAGATTGCGGCACTGCAGGCCGGGTTCATGAATGATTTGAATAGACGGTTGCAGTTGGGCCCTCAGGCACCGCCAGTGAAGAAGGAAGAACCGGCAGAGGAAGAGGAAAAGGAAGAGGAGAAGAAGGAGAAGGCGCCGCTTGTGGATGCGAGAAAGGGGAGGGCGAGGGGCCCGCAGAGAAGGGCGCCTAGTGCTAAGCAGGAGCCCCCTAAGGAAGAGCCCAAGCCGACTGTCACGTTTAACGTGTCCTCGGCTTTCACATTCTTTGAAATCAACCCTGAAGAGGGTGATCTCAGCGTTGGTGGTGGGCATCCTAGTCTGGGTGAGCCGGAGTTACCTGTTGAGAAGGGGCAGGCTGAGGTTGAGCTGAAGCCTGTGGAGGAGGAGAAGAAGGAGGAGGAGGAGGAGGTTGTGGAGGAGAAGGCTGAGGAGAAGGTGGCAGAACCAGAAGCTGCTCCTGTTCCGGAAACCAAGGTTGAAGAGCCCAAGGTTGAAGAGCCCAAGGTTGAAGAAACCAAGGTTGAGGAACCAAAGGTTGAGGAAAACAAGCCCGAGGCTGAGGCGGAACCTGAAAAGGGGGAGGAGCCTGAACCTAAAAAGGGGATCATTGAGCAAGTCAAGGCTTTGGTGACAAACATGGCCGGGGAGACGGTTGTTGAGGAGACGGTGGAGAAGGATGAGGAGAAGAAGACGGTGGAGCCGGTGAAGGTTGAGGAGCACTGATTCTTTTTCATGGGGGCTGTTATATAAACTTGATGATGATTATGATGACTTGTTCTTTGAAAGTTGTTGAACTCACTCCTTTACTCGCGTTTGCTCTTCTTGGAATTTTCGAAGCTTTAGCGATGAGTTGTTGATCATTGTTGGCGGAGGGTATTTGAATGGAGTAAAAGCTGTGGGACCGTCGGTCGTTGAATTGGGGGTAATGATGGAGAGTGATGGGTGGTGGTATAAAAAGCTGATATAATACAAAGATGATTCGTTCTTTTCTGGGAAGAATTGCGTACCTTTTGTTTTGTGGCTTGGTCTATCTGTGATTATGCTCAATGGCTTGGTCTAATGTGTGATTATACTTTATGGCTTGGTATATACGTGATCTGCTTACCACATTCGATGCATGGGGAATGTGAGATCTGATGTATGTATCATGCCAACAACATCCTGGTCGATGACCCCCGACGGAGATAGAGAGCACATCAGACCCCCTTGGGTCATTCTTTTTGAGGAACCTGTAGAAACATAAGCGCCCTCTGACAGGTTTTACGAGCTGTATTATTCCAGAAGTACCTATTTGCTCATACATGCATAGGTAGTCGGACACCGCCAGTAAATATAACTCTCGTTTTTTTTCCTTGAGGGCGACCCCTGAGTAGAGTGAGTCCATCTTCACCCATAGCCAATCTCCTCTCAAGCCAATATCACTCCCCCGACCTGTACCTGCTGCCGCCCCTTGATCTGCCCAGTCTACCCGACCGTCTTCTCCGTGATAGCCTTTGCGGGGCCCCATCTGGTGGTGGTGAGTCTCTACGAGTACACAATCCACTCCATCAAGGAAGGAACCCCTTCCCCCCCATTGTGCCTCCTGCCCCTTCCTCCTCTACAACAGGCAGCCACCTTACCCAGCCCCTTCCCTCCGCCCCTCCTTCCCTCAATAACCAGCATATACCATCCACTCTCCCACGCCCTCCTTCCATCAACAAGCAGCAGAAGCAACAAAACTCCCATATGGTGTAGTGGTTAGCATACCAGGCTTTCAACCCTGCTCTTGATATTCAAGAGACGCTTTGAAGACCACCCTGGAGTCCCGGGTTCAATTCCCGGTGTGGGAACTTCCTTTTTTAATCTCCCCCTCTCTACTTTTTCCCCTCTGCTGATACTGGATGGTCGATGATGATGATGGGTCCCTCCCCTGCTTGCTTTCTTTCTTCTCCCTTTAGGCAACACACATTTGATTACTGCGGTTCCAGGTTCCATGATGTCTCTCTCACTTGCTCCGAAGATGGATCAAAAACCCTTCTTGTGTTGATCTCTCAAATTATCAAGCAAACGAGAACCGGTATGAGAGACGGTTAGCCACATGGCACAAACAAACACAGAGAGGTATGTGATGATAGTAAGTGTTGATCAAAGAAAGCAGGGAAATCTTCCATTACCCCTAAACCAAAAACTCAAGCATCGCGATAGCCTAGCCTAACCATACAAAACCAACGACACGACGCAAGGATGAAAATATGAAAAACCGGGCGCGCCAATAACACCAATATTCCTTGATTTCCCTCATTTTCTTTTTTCCTGCCTGAGAAAGCAAAAGAAAAGATATCTGTGTTGGAGGTTTTGGTTCTTCTTGCTGTATACTAAAACAGTAACAGTAGCAACAATAACAACAAAAGGACTGACTGGCTTCTTCATCACTTCGACATAAACCCCCCTTCCGGCCTGACCCTACTCCCCCGTCTAATAACCATGTTGACTTCCCGGCCCAGCCAGCTTTGACACCATCTCCCCCCTCCCTCTCCCCTCTCCCTGTTCCCCTCCATCCCCTTCCCCTCTCCATCCTCTCCCTCCCCATCCCGACCACCTCATTGCGTTCTACCCGAAAAGAGACTTATACAATCATCTGCGCCACCCCCTGCCCCCCCAAAGTCTTGCTCCCCACAAACGCCTGCCCCTTCGCCCCCGCCAACCCATAGCACGCCCCCGTCAAGGTCAAAAACACCGCCGCCGCAATCAACGACGTTCTCGCGCTGATGCAACTCAGCCACAACACCAGCGCCATCACGCCGTATGCCCCCGCACGCATGTAATTTGTCGAGATCTTGCGGATCGCAGCATCAAAGGAGGAAGAAGTGGGACAGATGCGGAGGAGGAGGGGGACTTCGACGAAGAGGATGACGAAGGAAAAGACCATGGCGACGACGGAGAAGGCGATGATGATGATGTTGAGGGAGAAGATGCTCGAGATGATGTTGGAGAGGCCGAGGGCGAAGCAGAGGATCATGGAGAGGATGCCGAGCCATTGGCCGTAGATGCCTGCAGCAGGAGGTTAGATAATATTGGGTGGGGAGGGGGGGGGTGGAAAGAGGGGAGAGAGGGACGGACTGAAGTTGCGGGTTTGGAATTCTTCTTTTAGGGTCATTTTGACGGTTGTTGTTGTTGTTTACCCAGCGGGGGGTTGTGGATTGGGTGGTGGGTGAAGGTGTGCTTCTTCGCGGTGTGGGTTGTCAAGCTTGATAGCTTAGTAGGTAGGTAGGTATAGCTCGATGGAGTGTAGCTATTTCCAACTACTCCAGTGGACCCTTTCTTCTTCTTTGCGCGCGCCACAAATCTCTACTCGGTGGGCGTTGTAGCTCGTGTAAGTCGTTCGTTTCGTGGATAGCTAGCTATCTCGATAGGTATGTAGCTTGTCGTTGGTGGATCGGTTGCGACGGCACAGGAAAAGGATGACGACGATTCGATCGAAATGCGATTGCGCCTCAATGTTTCAATCAAGTAAAATAAAATAAAACGTGGCCTTCGTTATTTAATCGCGTCGTCGTTTGTTTCGTTCTTTGTCTTTGTCTGGCACTGGTCTGTCTAGCAGAGCAGTTCAGTGTCGTGTCTTCGGTAAAGTTGGAAAGAGCTGTCTGTCCCCTTCTGAGTGCAGTGCAAGGTTGTCGTAACAAACAGTGACCACCACCTTTCTGAAGCGAAAGCACTGTTTGGTCTTTTCGGATTCCCGGTACGCAAGAGAACGCAGAAAGTGGGGATTTGGCCGAGATTCCTGAGCTATGATTGGCTTATCGCTGGCTGTAACACTGGTGACAAGTGTGACAGGGATCGGTGCAAAGCCGCTTCTTCTTGCTGCGACGCTTGGTTCTTTTTCTGTTGAGGGCACGGAGACGGAGGGAGCGTTTTCTTCAAAGATATCTGTGAGATGATGGCATGTTTGGCTTGGGTCGTTGGTATTTATTCCATAGGCGCTCTTTGCAAGGAATGCGGGTCCTGACAGTGAGCCAACTGGCATCTTTAAATGTATTTGCAGCAGGCCGCCAAACCAGGCACCCGATTTCCGAGGTCGCTTGCTGACGTACCTTCCTGACCATGAGGCTCAAAAGTTACGCGGCATGGCTCCCTCTACACAAAAATGCTCTCTTCTGTGCCGTTGGCTTAAAAAGGTGTATTAACCCCAAGGTGTAGCTACTGCTGCTGCAATGCTGGTGAAAAAGCAAAGTCCCCTCCCTCATTCCCGTCAATCCATCTCCAGACGCCGCCCACATCAGACATTCAGATACCGCCGCCTCATTTTGTGGATCTTGATGCATTTTTTGTGTATTTGGCTAATATATCCTCACGGCTCCGTCTAAATGATAGCTTATCCTTCCGTCAAGTTCGGCAAGATTGCTTAACCGAAAACGAGCTTGAAGATGTCGTTGAAGACGAACCACTGACCCTGAGGGTCCTGGCAGAGCTGGAAGGCCTGAGAGAAACTGAGAGGTCTGGCCTCATCGTCGACCTGTTTATGACACATTCATATTAGTCTTGTCTGCCTCCTTCAAGAGCACCGTGTGAAACTTACAAGGAGCTTGCCAGTCACCAAGATGACGATACCACCGGTGGCAGTGGGCTGGGCGTCGGCGGTAGCGAACTCGTGCTTGACCTTCTGGAATGGCAGGTTCTGCGGCACGTTTAGTTAGTCGCCTCGTGCTTCATTGTGTCGCGTGATTAAATGATCTCTTACGGCGAGCTTCTCCGCAATGTTGGCGGCACCAAGGGATTGCGATGACTCGAAAGTCAACATGGAGTTCTCTCTCTGTTTGTTCTGTTAGTCGCCAACCCCTCGTTTGCAGCTTCCTCGATCCGGGGCATACGTAAAGACCACCCAAGATCTCGCGGTTGGTATCAAAGGTGGTGTAGTAGTGGGTGACGAACTGCGCTGTTGCGGGGGGAAACAAAAACAGCGCACGTTAGCTTCTCTTCTCGCGATCGTATATCTTGTTTCAGTCGAGCTGTGGTGGTGGTGTAAACTCACTCGCAATTCCCTGGAAATCGACTATTTGCCATTCTGTTAGCCTTACATCCAATTATGTCTGCATACGAGTTTGCGCGCGCAAACATGAAGGCATCGCGAACAGGCTCCCTCCCTCCTCCCCAACAGCGCCATGGCGGGGTAATCCGCACATGTTCATTTTCCCAACCCCTCCAGCTCCCCGTTTGCGCGCGCACACAGCCTTGTCATATTTCCCAAGGGACCCAGAATAAAACTTACAAGACATCTTGACGGTATTTGATTGCTTCGCAGCAGACAACGACCTTGGGTTTTGGTGATGTAGTTGGCGTGGAAGAAAAAGTGAAGCAAGGCCTCGCGGAGGGGGAGATATCAGAAGATCACTTTGGAACCAAGCGCAGGCACCCAGCAGCCCAGCCCAGCCCAAGTCAAAAGTGGGGTTCCTGTATCACTCCAAAAACATACAAAGCCAATCTTGGTGCCTGATCGATCAGGCAACCAATGCCGCAACAAAAAAAAAAAAAAAAAAAAAAAAATAAGCTCCCCCGGTCGTCCCAGTCCGCACTTTTCAATTGGAAATAAATTTCACCTCCAAAATAATTTGGGGTTGCTCTTTTTCTCTTTTTTTCTTCACGCACCCGCATCTTGAATGGTAAGACACACCCCTTTTACTTTGCGCTGCACTCCTCTTTATCATGATGACAAAACCTGCTCTTAAGAACGGCCAACAGAATAAATCATGTTGATTAAAATCAATCATCAAGCTCAACAGTCTGACATTCTACCCAACATACACTTCATTGTTTCACGCATTTCTTGAAACCAAGACAGCAGCGCTAACAATTGGATGAATTAGATCGCAGATATTTTGGCATTGGATACCGCCGGTTTGGATTGGGACATCAACAAGGCAGGACAAGAGTTGGGCATTTGGGATTCTAGCATTGGGAAGGGAGTGCTGCTTGCCCAACAACCAACCGCGTTAGGCCAGCCATTCATCAGCTTGTGAAACCTTTGCTCGCGTGGGGTGGACATCCAGCCAGCCTTGATTCAAGGCAGTCAGTGTGTCCTGTTAGCTCGTTATCTTGGGCTTCATTACAGCGCATTGGAACTTTTCCCTGGCTGGTGGGTGGCTTGGCTTGGCTAGTCGTTGGGCAAGGCTTTCTCCTCTCTCGTGGGTAGCACCATTATGGATAATAATAGATCAAATGTCCTACCATTCCAATGCATTACTCAATCTCCGTCGTTGTGATCCTTTGTTTTGCTCAACCCAATGGCCAAAGCCGAAATTTCCCTTGACTGGAAGACTCGACCAAACTACAGACAGCAAGTCGACAGTCAAACCCACTTCCATGATACCAGCCACCACTTAGTGTAAACTAACGCTACCTGACAACACCACAGCACCAAACTGAGACAGGTATCTCATTACATTATCACCCATGGTTGCCAACGCAGCTGATCCCGGAGGCAGATCAGTCCGAACAGGAGACAAGAGCTGTTTTTGTGGCGTACAGGATGAAGCATTCTCTAACTTGCCTACCAAGTACCCTCCAAGCCCTATATGTATATCAGCGTGGAACTTGAACCCAGATATCTCCCACTTCACAATACCACTTGACCCATGAACCCAATGGAATGAGACCTTTCTTAGATATATGCTACACCTCGTTGAGCATTAAGAAGGCCTGATTCAAAACTAAGAGGGACTTCAGCAAGTAAGGGCACGCCTTCCACAAAAATAAGAAGGCCCTCAAGAAGAATAGGAAGGCCTTCATTGCATCTTGATGGGCATGCAATGCTCCGCTCAACACCTCTTCAACGAGTAGATACGTCTATTTCTGA